CGGGAGTAATTAGTGTTGTGATTGTGAATATGACGCTCTTTTTTGACACAGCTCCAACCTGGCCACAGTTTGGCTGGTTTGGGTAAAGCATTGTTTTATGAAATTTCCGGCTCTGAGCAATAAACAGTTTATGTTACAGATAAGAAACTGAATTGGTGATTGTATTACCGACAATTTCGCGTTCTTGCCCTACCTTCACTCAAAAGTTTATCACGATGCAAAAAATATTAACAGCACATAAGAGAAGAATATCACCGAGAAAAAATATCTACAATACCTAATGGGATCCATGTTGACATGGAGAAGTTACTAGGGTTGACAAAATTCACATGTTTTTGGACACCACATTTTGGTACGGTTGTTGTACAACGCTTTCAGGCAATGGCCTTTTTCTTTAAACCATGAGCATCGTGGCTGTGATAGAATATCTGTGCAGCCGCAAACATTACAGCTTTGCGGACAATCCCATCTGACGATATCGTAGACACATAGACCATTCCTTTCATTTTCAGGGCAAGAGGTGTTGTAATCTTTGCACTCCATCTGTAAATATTTAGGTTGTTTTTTCAAATCACAAAATCTTCCATATACAGGAAATACTACGTGTTATTATAAAGAGCACTCAAGGTTGTGCTTCCTTTTTGAGACACACCAGGCACTTCCACTACGGCTTTGGTCAGTAGCATTTGAGTTAGACTATGTAATATGAACAACGACCTGAAGAGTCACCGGTGATACCAATATTTTTTACACCGTAAACGTGACTTGCACCAGTTAACTACCACCGAAGGGATGAAAAGAATTGTTGGTCCAGGACAAGATCCGATGCGGTATTAGGCTCGGAGATGTGCACGCGAACCACCTCGAAATTTCGAACTCAGAACTGTACTCGTGTTGGCTGTGGCTGCATCAAATTCTTTCTCTCCTTCTATTTCTCAAGCACGAAATGGAAGGGAACCGGGCCTTAGTTAGTGAACCTTCTTTTCTGAACACTTATCAAACTGCTGTTTGTTTCTTACCCACTGTTTATCAAAGTTACAGTGAAGGGTTAAACGAGAAGAACCTAATAAGACACAAACTTCAGCGAGAATCAATGAACTCTGCAACACTGGGCGATTTTTTTTGGAATGCAGCCTCGCCCAAATCCTCCTATTATCCGTTACATGGGAGTGTCGGTTTGTGGGAAGGGAGGGTCCTGGCAGATGAGTGGGGACAAATCTGGTTCACAAAAAATAAACACACCTCGCCATTACGAAGAATATATGGTGGTGGATTAGGTGAATCTCTTATGCCAAAAGACTGTCGAATCTTGTTCAGAAGCCACTCTACTTCTTGATCCGAGCTATTCTAAATGTGTGCAAATTTAATTCGAATGAGCTCTATGGCAAATATTCCGGAACGTAATGTCACATACGAGAAGTGGTAGGTTTTTTCCTTGATTTGTGTTTGTAGCTGATCCTCCCCTGCTTTCAAACTTTTGCCATTGTTGTTAGCAGGACCAGCAATCTAAAGAAATGGTTGAGAAAAAAGTTGAAGTCGTGTGAAAATAATATGAATTTGCAGTTTTTTTGCTCTTTCTATGCTTCCACACAAAAACTTCATTCCCAGCCCAGCAACGTTACAAGACAAAATGACACAAAAGCGATCGGAATTTAGCTTGAGAACTCCCGTCTTATCTCCACACGAAGAGCCGATTATTATTACTCAACTTCAGCGATGTTAATAAAAAAGAATTTCCTACGTAAATGATAAGACTTTAGGTGTAGGAAGATCATGGCCAGCAAGTGTGTGCGCATGGTACTGCGGAGTAAGTCACACTCAGGCATGAGTGGGTAGCAAGCAGGGATCAGCCAATCCTGTGCAATTTAGGGGGGGAGTGTTAACCGCAATAAAGGAGTGATAAGTCTCCAGGCGAGAGCGTCAGCGCCGTCTCTTCACGCCAAACTCCAGGCCTCCATGGGAAGCTAACGGCGCGCGGACGCGATAGCGTGTTTTTAAGGTCACGGCAAACGGCGGAGGCGGGACGGCGAACGAGCATGGGTAGCTCACCCAGCAACGCTTCAACACGTTAAGTGCTCCAAGCACCTTCCACGCTCTTTCTTCACATTATAACAGATTAAAGTAAATAAAAATCGAACTTGAAGAACGGACTTGATACAACCAACTTCAATTTGACCGTGAACTCGCATGAGAATGCCCGTAAAAACGGTGGACTTCCTGTATGTACAATCTTCAAATAATTCCAGTTCCTACTCTGTGCGAGGATACCTGTGCATAGCCCAGTCATTTCGCTCGCCGGATTGAATAGAAAGGTACATCGCCAGAGACCTATCACTATTCAAGCGGAGTGGCACCCACTGCTTGCCCTCCCTTCAAGCTCCTCGCAGCCATGACTCCTTTTCAGCACGTAACCAGCACGCGCTGCGTCCACGTGAGCTTTTCCCTCCCTCCGAGACTCCAAACACATTATGACTAATCCAATTAAATGAATGAAAATGAGCTTTCAAATACTGTACTGCTGAATGTTTCTCGTCATTAAGCAATTATTGCCTTGAGCAACTTGGAGAGATTCGATATGATGTGCTCAATAAGTCGAAAGCTTGCAAAGCTGCTTTTATGTTTTTGGGAAATGTTCATAGACTTCAAAAAATGCAATATAATGGCCGCTCCATAATTACTCCTACGCTACCGAATCCGCGAGTTTTGCTACTTTGTAATCAAAGAGTACATCGGGAATGTTAGAGCTTTCCCTTGACATCTGTTTCCTCTTCTTCAGTGACACAAGAGGTGCTGCAGAGGAGCGACCGTATCACATTGTGGACTGACTGCGGTGAATGATGATCAAAGAATAAATCTTGTGGGTGGTTGAATTAGCCATTTGTTTCCTCTAACCCTTGTTTGCAGTTTTTCTGCGAGTAGGCATATTGACAAACGTGCAGAATCAAATGGGAGTACAGTCACCGCTAACTTACCGTAAGAGGGCTGCCAGGTCCCAGCACGGCGTTGTCTCCGTCGTGTATCGCACAGCCGAAGATGACGAAAAGGCAAATGAAATACAACATGATTGCTGGTTGACCTGCATGCCAGTACATCGTTTACATATATTGGTATAAACAGCGAATTTAGAGCGATTTTCCACGTGTTAAAATCTATTTCGCGAATTGTTGTTATGTTTGTAGATCCAAAATTACGATTATCACACACGGACGATGTACATTAAACGCTTTGACGACAGCCGTATGCCGCCACTTTTGCATGGACACTGTGGCAACTATGTATGCCTCACCAGTTACATTTGTTTTTTGCGCACATGCTCGATTTCTTTCTAGGTTTTGTGTGTTCATTTTATAATTAGGTTATAATATCATACATCAACATAACCAAGAACAACGTGGGTTACAGAATGACCAAATATTCCTAAGTTTGGTAGAGGTTTCCCGACCCTGACGAAAATATCCGTTCAATTCATTACTAATTTTCTTCTCATTAACGCTAACATGTGAATAAAAAAGGAATAACAGAAGTGAAAACAAATCTAGTCGTGTGGCAAAATTTGTTTTTTTTTACTAAAACAACCACGTCCAAATTAATTCTGGAACCACTAAAGGAAAGCGAGTAAAATTCGCCTTTTCGCGGCCTTAACACATCATTTCGGTCAAACTTCCACTTACTGTAACTCCCGATAAGTTAGAGTCGAGCACTATTGAAAACAATTCAATGCATACAAGTATTGCGTATTTACAGCTCAAAATTAATGAATTTGGTGTGCACCAGCAGCGCTCGCAAAAATGCTGTGGTCCCACGCGGTGCAGAAACCCAAAATGCGCAATGCCGTCAACGTGTTAACTAACGCAGACGAACACACCCCATGAGGTCATTCGCACCAGAAGTGATGAATGCGATTTCATTTGTATTACATAGGTACGGTTATTATTGACAATGCACTGTGGAGCATCACTAAATCACATGACACTCCTCTGTTCTTCGGTTCTTCAGCAAAACAACGGTGGCACGACTGTTCGTGGCAGGGTCGGTCCTATCGTTGCTACTTTTCGAAAAATTTTTACGACCCCTCCCCCAAGGTGGATTTGATACGACCCCCTTTTCCCTACCTCCACCATCTCCATCTTCCATCAAAACCCCGCCCACTTTTTCCTCCAAAAATGCCGTCGAGCGGGGGGGGTATATACGCACTCTGAAACGGCAAATTTTACCAAATCACATGAAACTTCTTACAACCGACTCAAAGTACAAAGTACTGGGCGAAGTGTTCATCAGCTGTAGCTTTTTTGCTGGCCAATTTGTTAAACCTGAAAAATGCTAGAGGCAAATCTTTTTTAACCATTTGGCGGCAATGGCACCCGCCGGTGGTTGCCATCATGACCGTCGCGTGGAAATGGCACCCAATGGTGTGAATGTTCGCGCGAGAGAACGTGTCTTATCGGGCGAAACCGCGCAACGTGGCCGTTGAAACTGTGCAAAGCACGGTTGACTCTGATTGTGATGTAACTTCCTCCACTGCTCTTCAAGCGAAGCAAGTACGACCCCCCCCTCTACAAACTCATCAAAATACGACCCCCCCCCGTTGCTACTTGTAGCAACATAGGGTTGACCCTGGTTGGTGGTTGCTGACCCTTCACTGAGCTCGGACTACCGCATTCCCTTCTGAATCCGCCTGGATCGGGGAAAACCAGACATCGCTCCGTTCTCACAAGATAGCGTTCTGATCCTGCTTGATACGAGCCCAAGTGTCCGGGACGAACAGAATCGCTCAAAGTACTGGGCGAAGTGTTCATCAGCTGTAGCTTTTTTGCTGGCCAATTTGTTAAACTTCTGAAAAATGCTAAGGGCAAATCTTTTTTAACCATTTGGCGACAATGGCACCCACCGGTGGGTGCCACTATGACCGTCGCGTGGGACAATGGCACCCAATGGTGGGTGCCACCCTAAAATTTTCTTCTTTACCCATTTAAAACATTTTCAACATATCAGTAATTATAAGCAAGCTCCGTTACGCCTATGTTTAGCATATTTTGCAGAAATGTTTGTTACTAGCTAATTTATATGAAATTTTAGGATATGGCACTTCGCTCGGCGATGTATTAACTAGTGTTTTACATTATTAAGCTTAAGGTGAATTACAGATCAGGACCTCTACGTCTTTTCACAGTCTTAAGACACAAGGAGGAGTTTGAACTATATCAAAATTCTACTGTACATTTGAACTTCTAGAGTTTCAAACACCATCCCTTTGAAATCCGAGATTTCTTTCCAAACTTCCACTTCTAATTCCAACAATACATGATCATAAAGACTGCAGTCATATTTTGTTTATTGTCATAGTCAAAATTTTGATAGAAAAACTGCTTTTAGGGACAATTTTGCCCCATTTTGTGCGAAACGAGGCGTGGTCCCACGAGCACGCTACGTGCAAATTCTCATTGTCGTCAAAGGGTTAAATCACAACCCAGGCAGAGATCGTGTGAACGCTTTCCTTCGGTCTGTAGTATAGACTCCTAGAGGACAATCACAAATGTGGCGTTCCCGTGCACGGAAACCAACCGACAAGAGCGCTTGGGCCTTGCAAAGTAAGCTGCTGAAGCTGCAGAGCTTTTTTCTGTATAACCAATGGATAAAGCGCCTCTCAGGTCAACGCGTGCGTTTTTATGACTTTGCTTTGGGCCATGCGAGTTTTCAAACATTGCGAATATCTAACATGTTAGAACTTTCCGCTAAATAATCATTATCTCATTATTTTCGCAGATCTCATAGGCTACTTGGAAACTAGATAACGATTAGGGCTTTGAAAAGAATACTGAAACTTTGTTTGGAGCAGCAACGTAGGATTCGAGAAGTGGTGAGTACGGCCGTACACGGTTACACTCAAAAGGTGATGTGTATTCAGAAGAGTACCTGTAGGGTAATCGTTTTGTCTTCTAGTAATAGGGCGACTAAAAGCATCGCATCTCTGCCGTGCAAGAGTGATTCCGTGCCTTAACAGCGGACCCATTCAAGACGCATGTCCTGAGCTTCCCCGGTTCATTACGGGAAAGGTAAGGAAAAGCTCTCCAGAACAGGAGCCAGAAAGATGGGCGAGAGAATAAAGGCTTGAAGAGCAGTGGAGGAAGTTACATCACAATCAGAGTCAACCCTGCGTTGCGCAGTTCTCAACGGCCACGTTGCGCAGTTTCGCCCGATTAGACACGTTCTCTCGCGCGAACATTCACACTCGCATGCTCGAGCCGTCTGTGTCTCCGCCCATACAGCGTGCGTTGAGGATCTCTCAACGTGCCGTTGCGAACTGCGCAACGCACGGGTTGACTCTGATCACAATAGACAGTGAATTCATTCACTGATTCCACGCCTAAAACCTGTTCAGCTTTACTCAACTGGAAGGCCATCGAAAAAATTTCCAAGTACATTATGCGGTTTGTTGTTTTGTTAGATTAACAGCTTTTTTTCATTAACTTGGAATTTACTGGCCTTGGAAATTACCAATAAAACAATTTTTCATTCTTCATTCTTCCCTCCATTCATTCGAATACCCTGGTTCATTGAAGGCATGCCCCAAGATCACATTGGTGTGGCTCTGGCACACGAATGCGAATGTATTGTGGGTGGTGGCGACAGTAAAGAAAAGAGGGAAGAATCCGCGTCCGAATCGCTCAGGT